CTCTGCGGCAGCTGCAAGCACGGCCTGTAGGCATCATGCCTGACCTATTTGCAATCTCGAAACAATGTGAATCACGCAACTTCTTTCCTTGAACAAACGTCGGCAACACAGAATAGCCCTAGGAAGAATTGTAGATACAATATGTTTAAGCAATGTCGGTGGGTGGGAAGCAACATGCGTCCAATCCGCAGAGAAAGCTCCATTCAAGACCATGTAATGCGCTCAAACCTCCCCTGTACCTCGTTCCGCTCTGGTGCGACCAACCCACCAACTTCTCCCAAACAAAGGTGAATCTACACTTGAAAAAGAAGGCAACAATCGGAAAAACGACGATACATCAATGAACAACAATCAATGAGGCCAATCAATCATCACAGGAGATAGACAGCGGGACCACCATCAAGGTTGCGTGTAACTGGCTACTCACTGTACGGGTTTCCGACCTTTCCATTGGCCCCTTTACTTTGGGCCGCTTCCTCTCGCATCCCTCTTGCCTGCGCAGACAGCGGCAGCTCAGGGAGCCTGTGTGGGGGGGCAAAAACCCGGGTCGCCTAAGGCAATAAAAGCAACCAACTAGCAAACACACGACCAACCAAAGGAACAAAGTGGACAAACTCACGCAAGCAAGCAAGCAACCAAACCAAACCAAACCAAACCAAACCAAACCAAACAAAACCAATCTAGCAAAATACATTACAAAATAAAGAAACAACCAACAAATAGATAACTAGGTAATGAAACAACTCAATAAATCAAATCAAATCAAATCAAACCAAACCAAACCAAACCCAAACCCAAACCCAATCAATCAATCAATCAATCAATCAATCAATCAATCAATCAATCAACCAATCAACCAATCAATCAGCCAGCCAATCAACCAATCAATCAGCCAGCCAGTCAGTCAAGCCATCAAGCAACCGACCAAAACAATCAAAATCAAACAAACAAAATCAAACAATCAAACAATCAAGCAATCAAACAATCAAACAACCCATCAATCCATCAATCCATCATTGCATCAACCCATCGACCAACCAATCAAGCAAGCAACAAAGCAACCATGCCACCAAGCAAGCAAGCAAACAGCAAGCAAACCCACAAAGAAAGCAAACAAAACAACACAAACATACGCAACTAATTACAAGGAAAAAAAACAAAAACAAAAAACAGAGACAAAGCGACAATATAAACACACAACCAGGCATCCAACCGACAAAACACAACACAGCACAGCATACCAAAGCACGGCAGAGAAACAAACAAAACATAGAAACAATTCACAAAGACCACACAGAAAGAAATAAAATAAGAAGGAACACACTAAGTAAAAACATAGAGAAACACCAGAGAAAAAAGAAGAAAACAAACTGATACCGATGTGCTGTGATGTGCTGTGCCCTTTGCCGGGCATCAGTGTAGAACTCTAACGAGCCAACAAGTAAACCTGATTCACGATCTACTGATGGAAGGGAAAGCCATGAGCGTTCGTCCAAACTAGAGGCTTTTGCCTGGCCTGGAGAAAGAGAGCGAAATTAGGAGCCAATAGAAAGAGATCCAACATTGTGGCGCGTAGCTAGGGGCCAGGCTAGCACGTGCCCCGTCATTCGTGCCGATTCATGCCCGACTGAAAGAGAGCTGGACCAGTGGACCAGCACTCTCTCACCAAATGCTCTGAGGCCAGAGCGTACCCACATCTCTCGGCTTTCGGCCTCGCACAGTACAGCTCGGCAACGGTCTCTCATCAAATCGCCAACCCCTCACTGACTAGCTGGCTACATTGCTGGGACACTATACCGGGGTCCATTTGTGTGACATCCCCCTTTTTTTCCTCCAAGTGCTGGATTGAAAGGACAGTTTTGAGAACCCCCTCAACATACCCACGCTCTCAGCCGTGCCTGGCGCCATGCAGCGCCGCCCGGCCAATAGGTCGCCTGGTCAGTCGATTGAGGCGCAGATAGGGCGGATGGATCCAGCAGTTGGGATGGGACGAAACCCCTCCGCATGCTGGGTTTGTAACCACCTACCCACTGGTGCGGGATTTGGTCCATCCACAGTCAGGATGGGGAATCCTCAGCCCTAATTCATGCGTAACCTGTAGTGGGACATCATTACAAGGTAGCCACTGCCACCTAATAACCCAGCTTTTGGGGGCTTCCGCCCAATAAACGCGCATCCTATGGCTACAAAATGGCGAGCCAAGCAAAGGTCAAACAAGATTGGGCTATGCGCGTGACTTTGTGTTTCTTCAGTTTTTGCCATGCAAACAACGCCAGCATGTCTGGATCCTGGGTTGTCGAGGCGGCGCGTACGTCCAAAGGTCAGCGCACCACAGCCAACAATATGCAACAAAACTATACTTTGTTCTGCTGAGGGGGAAAAATTGGGAACACATCCGCATTCCAAAACATAAGCAAGATGTCTCGCCTGGAACATTTTGAATGACACACCGCCGCCGCCTTCTCATATGTAAGCAAGGGCTGGAAAAGTGCTGCAACGTCTGGTCTCTAGGATGACCCTCAGGTTAAAAATTGAAGTGGCTGAACACGGCAATTTCTGGCTGACATGATCTGACATGTCACCATTGGGTCATCATTGGAGCTCTGCTTCATGCATCTGCATTGCGTTGAAAGAATCTATATGCAGGATGGCCCTCCCGTGTAGCGAGTACCTCAAACCAGCCCGTGGCCAAAAAGCAAACGGCAAGTGAAAACGCTTGCAGTCTGCTAAAATCCGTTGCCCCATTGCGCCCTTCCAGGCGCTCGCCTATGGCTGCAAGTGGCAAAGCTTCAAACCCTGTCGAGCTATGCAACTGGTTGACTTAAACTGCACTGACAATTGGGTGAGGAACGCCCTGCGAAGAAAACAGCCTTGATGCGATGCAGCTCAAGGTGCTCAGCTGATGTGCGAGCAGTGGTCATCTCGGCCGCTGTCGCACGATTTTCTCTTGGCTATTGTCGGTTCAGCCACCGATGTTATGTGGTGCCACTTGAGCCTAAAAAAAAGCCAGGCCAACGCGCGATATTGCCCTTGTCAACGCAGCCCGTTCCATGAGCAGCCCGAAAGATTGCCGTAGTTTTAGCAGAGCTGGACGAATCTTTTTATCCCATGGCCTCACGCTGGGTGGACTGGATCTCATACCCGAAGCCTGTAAACTTAGACATGGATGCTTCATGTTCCAAGAAGCAGTGAAGCAAGTCCACTTCCACAGCTGAGACAAATTGACACCTCCACCCGCGGGCACTGTGGAGCGGCTAGCAATTCAAAGGCCAGCACTAGGACTGGACCCGGCAGACTCGGCTGCTTAGCTGCACCCCGTCTACCTGTCCCACCTGACGCGACCTTGAGAAGGTCAAAGAAACACGTCTTCTCCAAGATTGCATTTCTTGGCCAGCAGTAAGCTCACACAAATTCTGGCTATGGCAGCCAAACCGCCCGACTGTGCTGGTCACAACTTTGAGTCCAGCGTGCCGATTCAAAATAGCTTGATTCATAGCTGAATTCCAGAAGGTGTGATATGGTGTGATGGCAGGGCGCATCCGGCCAATGCGCGATAGCTGCAAAGTTGCTATGCGGCTATGACCAAGGAATGCATCACCAAATCACACCTGGGTTCAGCGACGAAGGGAAGAGCATGAGAGCCTACTCCTGGCATCCAGCCGCATGTGCAACAATCTCTACCACCCTTGCCGTTCAGCAAAATGAGCTGTAGACTGACTGATCTCGAATGTAGCCTCGAGAAATCCCCAAAGCATAAGCGAATCACATGCGTGCCTGGTAATTGTAAAGTGCTTGTGGCTTGCAGTGCACCTTCGTACATCTTTCATAAACAAGGAGTTCCAATATGTAGCTCGCCGTCCACACCGGAAACCATCATCACAGTCACAGCCGGTCACAGCTGCAAGGGTTACTAGTCCGAATGCCGAAGGCAGGAATGGTCTGAGACTGGGGCTGCCATTCGTGATGCACATGGGTGCACTCCAGCATGCATGAAACCCTCAGCCTGCCCCTAGCTCCAATTCGATCAAAGGCTGCTCACATTGGGTCTGGCGTCGGGTGTAGCGCTGACCCCCTCTTCAGCCTAAGGGGCCAGGACCAGAAACATGAGCCATGTCCAAGAATGCTTGGGGACGCGAAGGTCGCGAAGGCGCACTGCTTCAACACGCATGTCTGAATAGCTTACCTCGTGCCACTCGTGTGCCACTTGTATAAGGCTTCTATTTTGACTTGTTCACCACACAATTAAATCTGGAATATACCAGTGATGCCACGCCATCATGCAGCAACTGCTAGTCAAAAGTGGCTGCAACTGTACGTTGCCTGTTGCCTGGGTATGCTCCTCCGCTGTGCGCTGTGCCAACTAGTGCATTTACACACATATAAACATATGTATGCAATGCATCATCAAGTGCAAATCCAGCGCCCAAGCCAGGAGCCAACCAGGCAATGGTTCGTAGTGGCCCTCACTATGGCATGAAGGAGTCACGAACGGTCAAAGCGCTTTTCAGCAAACCCTCCCAAGCCTTTTTGCCCTGATCCCCACCTCTAACTTTAAACTCCTTAGTATGTGCCAGGCTCCTTCACCGCTTTTGACCAACCAAGGAAAACTACGTAAAAAGAACATTCTGCAGCTACGAGCGCTAGTTCTTGCGAATAGAGATTTAGGCACCCATGGCACCCACCCCAACCGACCCAGCGAAGCCAACCAGAAATAGAATCCATAGTTTGGCACAAGCATCAAAGTTGGGGCAATCCCCGATGTTCCCGTTCACAGAGTCATGAATCATGAAATTATTTCCGCCAACAATTCAGCATTTCCACGCGACGCATGGAGCTGGCTGTGCCAAATTACACTCGAGTCAGCTGAGAACAGAGCCTCGCTGTCCACCTCGCCTGACCGTTTGGCAATAGCTCGGAAGGGCGAATGGTTCTACGTCCCGCACTCGCGGTTGGCATGAAGTCGAACTGGTTTGGCTGTGCCGGGCACTTTTGACAGTGCAATTCAATACCCGGTGCAGACTGACATGACCCACTATTGATGACCAACAACATTCACAAGGGGTGGGAACCAAAGTTTCGCCCCCCCAACCCCCACTCCTCAGCGCCGCTTTTTCAAGCCTCTCCTAGGGCTCCCCCAAGAGAAGACCTCTCTACACTCTACACATGTTTTCGAGTAAATGTGGAGTGAGGATCTCTCAGGTGGAGTTGAGTCCACAGGTGTCGGAACCTGCCTGGACAGGTGTTGGAATGCTGCCAGGACAGGTGTTGGAAATGGTTTCTGGTTGGTTTAGGCATGGTTTTGGGTCGGTTTAGGGTTGGTTTAGGGTCGGTTCAGGGATGGTTTAGGCTTGGTTTAGGGTTGGTTTAGGGTTGGTTTAGGGTTGGTTTAGGGTCGGTTTAGGGTTGGTTTAGGGTTGGTTTAAGGGTTGGCTTAGGGTTGGCAGGGGGTTGGCTGAGGGTTGGTTTAGGGTCGGTTTAGGGTTGGTTTAGGGTTTTTTGGTTTAGGGTTGGTTTGAGGCGTTGGTTTAGGGTTGGTTTAGGGTTGGTTTAGGGTTGGTTTAGGGTCGGTTTAGGGTTGGCTTGGGGTTGGCTTAGGGTTGGTTTGAGGGTTGGTTTAGGGTTGGTTTAGGGTTGGTTTAGGGGGTTGGTTTAGGGTTCGTTTAAGGGGTGGCTTAGGGTTGGCTTAGGGTTGGCAGGGGGTTGGCTGAGGGTTGGTTTGAGGGCTGGTTTAGGGTCGGTTTAGGGTTGGTTTCGGGTTGGTTTTGGGTTGGTTTAGGGTTGGTTTGAGGCTTGGTTTAGGGTCGGTTTAAGGTTGGTTTAGAGTTGGTTTAGTGTTGGTTTAGGGTCGGTTTAAGGTTGGCTTGGGGTTGGCTTAGGGTTGGTTTGAGGGTCGATTTAGGGCTGGTTTAGGGTTGGTTTTGGGTGTCGGCATGGTTTTAGGGGAGGTTTAGGGTAGGGTTGGTTTAGGGTCGGTTTAGGGTTCGTTTTGGGTCGGTTTAGGGTCGGTTTAGGGTTTGTTTAAAGTCGGTTTGGGGTCGGTTTAGGGTTGGTTTAGGGTTGGTTTAGGGTCGGTTTAGGGTCGGTTTAGAGTTGGTTTTGGGTTGGTTTAGGGTTGGTTTGAGGCTTGGTTCAGAGTCGGTTTAGGGTTGGTTTAGGGTTGGTTTAGGGTCGGTTTAGGGTTGGCTTGGGGTTGGCTTAGGGTTGGTTTAGGGTTGGTTTTGGGTGTCGGCATGGTTTTAAGGGAGGTTTAGGGTAGGGTTGGTTTAGGGTTGGTTTAGGGTTCGTTTTGGGTTGGCTTAGGGTTGGTGTAGGGTCGGTTTAGGGTTTGTTTAAAGTCGGTTTGGGGTCGGTTTAGGGTTTAAGGGGTGGCTTGGGGTTGGCTTTGGGTTGGCTTAGGGCTGGTTTTAGGGTTGGTTTAGGGTCCGTTGAGGGTTGGTTTAGGGTTGGTTTAGGTTGTTTAGGCTTGGTTTAGGTTTGGTTTAAGGGCTAGTTTTAGGGTCGGTTTAGGGTTGGCTTGGGGTTGGCTTGGGGTTGGTTGGAGGGTTGGTTTAGGGTTGGTTTAGGGATGGCTTTGTTTGGGTGTCGGCATGGTTTTAGGGAAGGTTTAGGGTAGGTTTAGGGTTGGCTTAGGGTTGGCCCTGCCCCGTCGCTCCCCGTCGCTCCCCGTCGCTTCCCGTCGCTCTCCGTCGCTGCCCGT